AATAAAACGAGCCCGAATATTGATAGTGTAATTTTGCAAATCTAATCCCAATTTAGCTTGTGATCGGTTGATACCACTCATTATTAGGGAAATTATTAAGCGTGCTGGATTGATTTGAATTCCAGCCCGATCGCAATGCTAATGCAGTGACCACGTGTTTTTGGCGGGCAGAAATTCTATCATGCTTAAATATTTTCCAATCAGTACATTTTTAATTTGCTCCAAATCTATAAGTCTACGTTGGGAGACCTCCATTTTAAATTTACAATTTACATTTGCCCAATTCTAGGTCTGCGACATAATTTTCAAAAACAGACGCACCTTATCTTTCCACAAGTGGAGTCTTCACAGCGACCGGAAGCGACCAAGTTGTGCAACGTGTCACCGGGTGTTTGCCAGGTGGAGCAAGGTACGGCAGCATTTTATAGCAATCCACAGCACAAAGGAACGACACCGTTTATCATGTTCGTTTCCCGGCTGTGAGAAAACGTACCTGAACAAAGGTAACTTGACGAAGCAAGTGCTAACTGAACATGCCGCAAATCCGGTCCGATTTCCGTGCACCCTTTGCGGAGAAGGATGCAAATCGAGGGCTGACCTTGAGAGTCACATTCACATCCACACAACGGAGAAGCCGTACAAGTGTGCAACTTGTGGGGGAATAGTTTCGCCCACAGGGTGGGCATGAAAAGTCACGAGGTAAATGACCATTTGGGAACGTCCATATATTACGTCATAATTTTAGTGGGTGGGTGGTTTAGGTCTTCCTACCTTTCCTACGCTAAAATTCCCCTAATGTTTCCGTTTGGTGGTAAAATAATCGAGAATTTTTGATGATGAAATACATTGATGGCCCCTTCGTGGAAAAATCTTGATATTTATTAAGTACTTACTCCCTTTTACAGACGACGCATATGGAAAAATCTGCCCGACACGTGTCAAAGTGTCCCCTCTGTCCGCAGACCTTCATAACTAGAATTGGTCTACATTTGCACATCCGAGTTTTGCATGGAAATCTGAGGAATTATCCGTGCGCATTTTGCAATCTGAGATTCTCCCACACTGCAAAAAATATCGTCACCAGATTTACACCAAGAGATGTGTATATATGACTCCCCCGTCTTGGTGTGAAATCCACACGGGATGGTGCAAATCATTAGTTACACCAACGTGGGGTCAAATCACTGTCTAGGGACAATGTTAACACGGTCTCGGTGTTAATACTTAACATAGCGTGGTGTAATTTTTACACTGTGTGGTAAGTATTATGATGCAAATTTGGTGTTAATGAATTTAAATCGCATAAAATTTATTTAAGTATATTTGTTTATTAACCTTATAACAAGTGAATTAAACATTAATAATACAAATTAGTTATAAATGACATACAGTTTCGAAAACTAATTACACATGGTGTCGTAAAACTACATACATACCATCTAGATTACAATTTTTCTGAATTTCCATGCCATCATGAATTAGTAGATTGCTAATATTAATTAACTTAAAACTTTCTTCCACCGGAGAAATCTTATAAGCAAACAGTTTTCGACAAAAATAATCAACTTTGAGCTCTTTAAGAAGCAAGAAACAACGATTGTCATTTAGAATAATGAATTCTGAAATTAAGCCAAATTAGGGAAAAATCGCTCCCATCTCAAAACAAACAATATAATTACATTTATAATTATACCCTCTAAACCAGATTTGGTTGGTCGTAAAAATTGGGGTGCTCTCATTAACATCTTCATAACTTTTAACTTCTCTTAATAATTCAATCAAATCGAAAGCATCAGAAAATTGTGACAATGAAGAAGGAAAAATGTTGTCAACTTTGAGGTCATCATTCGTGGAAAAATTAGTTTGCACATGTGAAATGTGTTGCTGGTGTCGTGTGGCAAGTAAGAGGCATATATTTTTGTAATTTTTAATCTGACCAGCTAATTGTACGAAATAATTATGTTTGCCTTCAAATCTCATAGCCCAAAGAGAAATTAACGGTCCAGATTTTCTAATTACGTAGGAATAATGTGTCATAAAATGGTGTTTAGGAATCAATTTTTATCGGGGAACAATATTCTAAACAACTCATGGTGCTTAATTATTGCTGCATGTAAAGTCTCAATTGTTCCCTCAGAAAATTTTCGGCAAAAAATCAAACTCATGCACTCTAGCAGCTGCAAAATTAATTCCCAATATTTTAACTGCTCCTCACTTATAATTAAGTCACCGATTATAACTGGAAGGAATCTGATTAAACACCACGCCTGAGCAGCCTTCTGTGCAATCTTATTTCCAACTAAATCTAAACGAAGAGGACACGGTTTGTTTCTGGATTCTAAATAACCATAATCATGACACATTAGTCTATTATTAATATCTTCCAAAGTAAAACTGCCTAAATTTATCAACTTCTGTAAAACTAATTTTAGTTCATATGGAACAACTCCTTCTAATAAATCGTGCATTATGTCCACGACTGGACTATCAATAAAATGAAAATAATTTAAATTATTTAAGTCGCACGACCCAGTAACACCAAAACTTTTCGTGCCTAATTGTTCCGAATAATTGTCCCGGTTCCTAATTATCATTTCCTTATGATCATAAATATTTTGAGCTTCATTTCTGGATGTGCAACAAATGCGACAGTAATAATTCGCACTAAACGATTCCATAAAACCTAGTAAAGTATTGCCACCTAAATTGTCATGAATAAGACAGCAAATTGTTCCTAAAACCCGTACATTTCCTACTAATATTCCAAGAGTTTCTAAAATCTTTATATCGGGAATAATATGTTTCAAAATTGAGTTTAAACCATATTTCTTAGCATCTTCCGTATGGAAAAGAGCCAAGAGGTGAATGTTATTGAGCTCGGAATTCACATAGTCTGGAAAATTTCTTAAAATAAAATAAAAAGCCCCAATTTTATGTATTCCTCGTTTAGACCCTAACGGATTTACAGTTTCAAAATCATCATAAAAAAGTTGAATTTGAATTGAGCGTGGGAAATTTTTAAACAATGCATTATTCTTGAAACTCTGCGTGTCACAAAATCTTTCATAGCAAGATGAACTTTGCTCAGAACAATTTAAATACTTGGAATATATATTTAGAGAAAATATTTTTTCTAACGTCTTGAGAATTGGAACATACATAAACGTTTCGGGCACTAAAACTTGCTTCCTTTTGTTGTCTTTTAGTTTTAAATCTATCCTTGTTCCTAAAGTAATCTCTACAGGTTTTACGATTTTGTTATTTTTTTCGTAAAGATTCTGCCTGCTATAACTAGTTCTTAACTTTTTAAAAGCCGACATTAACGACTCCACTTGCACCGGGAAGTTAGCAAAGTCTTCACTAAAATTTGCCAACCTAATAATTATCTTAAAAACTTGGGAAAATGTATAATCTAAATCTTTGACTACATAATCAACGATAGAGTTACTCACTCCACGCGACATCAAAGAAGAACAGAAATTGATTAACAAATCTTGAAATAGTTTTACAGCCCTATCACGAGACATAAAATCTTCACTAATATCGCTAATCTCTTCCTCGTCCGGAATATCAAAACTAATATTATTTTGTAAACCTTCCTCAGAAGGCTCGACCTGAACTCGTTCCACATTTTCGTGGGACTTTATATGTCTTAATAGACCACTCCAACTACTTAACGAAACTAAACAATTAATATGTGGGCAAACTATTTCTTGAAAATTGGACTGAGAATAACTATGTACATATTTAAAGTGCAAAAAAATATCATGCCCCGTTAAGCACCATTTCGCACAGTCTGGGCAGCTGAACATTTTTGAAATTCTAATTAATTTTATCCTAAATATTATCAAACAAAATAGCAACTAAAACTCGAAGGAACTGCACAGTTGGATGTACACCTCTTTGGCCTTCGGTGGAATTGTCGTTGTGTTGACATCCAATTTGTAGACATAAACTTGTAAAAACTTCCAGAGACCTATCAAACTCTTGTCGTATTCAGTGGCGAAGACAAAGTGAGCCTTGAAGAGTGAGTCGATAGCTGCCAAGGATTCTGTCGCACTGAGGGGAAGTAAACTCCTGTCAAGGGTCAAATAGAAGGAGGAAATCGTGGCACTGTTGTCCCCGATGCAGATTAAGTTGGGCTGTGTTTTCTCCGGGCTCCACGTATCCAAAATAGATTGAAGCGGCGTTCCAGTCTACGAAAATAAGTTCCAATTAGATTAATTTTATCATATTTAGTATGTAATCTTCTAATCTATAAATTTGGCATATTTCACTTTATGGAAAGTAACAAGTCGTTCTCTGGCCTGCAGAATGTTGCATCTAATTCCTTTCCCTCTGCCCTGAGCAGCAGGTGGAATGAGGTGCAGGAGGAAGAAGAGTGCCCTTAAACTTGGATCCCAATTTCCTGTATAAATATAATAAATTAAAATATGCACTTATATAAATATTTCAATGTAAGCTTAATTGCTAATTTTTTACATATTTTTACCCGACTCTTCGTTAATAAATTTATGAAGGGACGGAGACTTGCTCAAACTTCTCGCCTTGTCAATAATATGTGCAGATAGGGCCGGCCAGATGGTCAAAAAGTTTGATTCTTCAGCTTGATGGATGAGAGAAAATTCGTAGTTCACCTAGTTTAAAAAACAACTTAAACCAGTGACATATAAGTTAATATTTTCAAAAAAAACTTACCAGAAAATCGCACTCAGTAAACTTATTATAGATTTTGAGAATGGACTGCGCGTTTGTCGAGCGAAGCTGATTTCTGTGAGGGAGAGTAGCCTCCACCAGCGCCTTTATCTCGTGATTTTCTGATTTGGACGATAAACCGTTCAATTTATTTATTGTTTCTTCCAATGCCGGCTGACAGTCTTGATCGGGAGAGATTTGTTTTGATGTCGGACCACCTGTCGGACCACCTGTCATAGCCGGCGCTGCCCGTTTACCCTTCACTTTGACGTCGTTATTGTCTACTTTCAAGTTCCGAGCGAAGTCTTGACTGAATAAGCCCGGTGCGATTTACGTCGTCAAATAACAAATCCTGCAAATCGTAAAATATATTCTATTAACTATATTGACTAACTATAGACGATTAATTTTAATATATTTAAACCTAAAGAAAATTCTTACAATTCCTTCAACACTTGATGGAAATCTCCAACAGGGCAAAATTTTAATAATTGCCAACGCCAGTAATTTTTGATCCTTGGGGGATGGTGACTCACTAGAAAAGTCACAGATGTGATTATCCTAAATAGTCAAATAATACACTTACTTTCAAAATTAACTCACCCTTTGAGTTGCACCAACTTGGCAACAAATTCCTTGATCAAAGTTGACGAGGAAGTAAAGTCAACAAAACCATTTTTGTTGCACTCGCTGACGACTTGAGACAGATCCTGTCTATCTTCCAATAAATGTTCCAGTACCTGGTTAAGAAATTATTTTAATTACTTTCAGTCATTTGAATATATTTCCTCGCTCACCTGTTGAAACAAATCTTCGTTTTGCCCTCCAACCGAAAATGAGCCTGGAGTTAGACTGACACCTGATAGTTTATGTAAATATTATTACTTAAATAAGTATGAATTAATGGGCTATATTTTACAACTATTAAATTACCTGCAAATGTAGATGGAATCGTCACGACCTGCGAAGTTGTCGAGACCAATTCCTCGCCATTCAGCAAAAAGATAAGATTAGGGGTGGTCGCTTGGTCGAGTAGAATGGGAAGAACTTGCTCGTCGATCTCTGCGCCTTCTTCGTCCTGCAGGGATAGTTCCACCTCCTCTGTCAACAGAAACTTTGTCTTAACTGCATAAAATAATAAAAATATTGGCTCTATTAAATTAAAACACGAAACTAATTATTTAATGATTTGATGAAAACTTACCTAAATTTATAAAATCTTCATAACCTCGTGTTTCACAAACAATCAACTTTTTTCCTCTCATAGGATTCGAAACTCTTACTAACTTGGCCATGCTGTTTCTTGAACTTGGAGAAATGGCTGCCGGGGATGGACTGAGAAGCATGCGCAAAAATAAAAACGTTCCAAAAAACTCTTCCAACAAGGTGTAAATTTACACTATCAGTGTAAATTTTTACACGGCTAAAAATAAATAATGTAAACACATGCTTGGTGTGAATTCAACATTCCGCGGTGTCGAGGGTAGGGGCGATCTGACACCAGAGCAGGGTCAACAAGCCTCACCAACGCCTTGGTGTAAATCTCAATGTGAATATTAACACCGGATTATTTGCAGTGCAGTCATCAAACTTGAAGCGTCACGTGGACGCGAAACATGGCGATAATAAAGATCTGAAGATCCATTCCTGCGACAAATGCGAGTACGAGAGCAACTCTAAACAAACTTTGGCAAGGCACAAAGCTCGGCATGAGGCTGGAAATCGTGGATGCTACTTTTGCCGGAAGAAATTGGTCACTTTTTACGAATTGGTCAAACATTGTCGAGTTCATACTTTAGAGACGTAATAAGACCCATACATATGTAAGGCTTGTATATGCATATGTATTTATCAATTGTTAATAAGATTACTAATAATATATTAATTTATTAAATATATCAATCTGGAAACTATTAAGCCATTTAACGAAAGGGGCCGTCCATAAGTTACGTAACGCAAGAGGGGGGGGTCCAATGTTCCAATAATTTCGTGCCTATGTTACACATACCATAGGGGAGGGGGTCTAGAAAATCACAATTTTTGCGTTACGGAATTTACGGCTCTAAAAGATAAGCCGCACATGTAGTCCCAAATTGTGGCTTGATTTTTTTGATACATCCCTCTCACCCTCCGGTGCAGCTCGAAGAAAGGCTCCATTGCAGTGTGTGATCTAACTACTTACTTAATTCCTGAAGGGTCCCATATTTCTATTTCAGTCCACATTAAGCAAAGTGAAGGGTTAACTGGTGGCTGGAATGTGCTTGTGCCCACAAGGACATTCCGCTACCCTTTTGTGCAAACTGTAAATACACCTGCATTTGCCTCCGGACTTTTACCAAGCACAGTTCGCATTCTGACTTCTCTCAATCTTAAATATGAGAAACAAGCCTGATTTATTTTCAATTTAAGCTCAAGAAAGATAAGCGTGAGTACTCAACTAGAGAAAATTACTGTTTGCGGACGATTCACGATTCGCACTCAAGCATTTCTCACCATAAGTATTCCACTTCGTTTGAAACTTACCTAATGGAAAGTTAATTAAGTTCAAATTGAGAGTAAGCAACTTTAAATAAAACTACTTGATGGATACATTTTTTGGGATTAATAACTCCCCAAATACCGCATTCACATCGATATGAAGCCAGGAAAGAAACGGGAATGTGCAAATTGTTCAAAAACATTTAAAACTGTTCAAAATTTGACTAGACACATGGTCACGCATGATCCCGATGCCAAGGTCAAATGTGAGGTGAGCGTGCCAAATTGTAAAAGTTGAACTTAATTTGTAATCCATTACCACTTCTGTGTTACCAAGGTTTGCGGCATAATTTGCAAAAATCAACACGTTTTATCTTTCCACGTGTCGAGAGTTCACAGCGACCGGAAGCGGCCAAGTTGTGACACGTGTCACCGCGTATTTTTCGATCTTCCCACTTTACGTCATCATATTGGCATAGTTCACAGCACGAAGGAACGACCTCGTTTATCATGTGGAGTTAATGGATGTGCGAAAACTTACCTGGACAAACGTAGTCTTAACCAACACGTGAGAAAAGAACATGCCGAGAATCCGGTCCGATTTCCGTGCATACTTTGCGGAATGGACTTCAAGACGAGGTGGGAACTTACCCAGCACATTCCCACTCACACGACCGAGAAGCCCAAGTGTGCCACTTGTGGGAAAACTTTCGCCCACATCAAGCACATGAAATGTCACGAGGTAAGGAAGCATGTGGGGGGAAAGAGGAGGTGAAAACTTACCAATTTACATATTTATTTTACAGATGACGCATCTAGAAAAATCTACAAGGCACGTGTCAAAATGTCACGTCTGCCCTCAGACCTTCTTCAGTAGGGATGGCCTTCGTAGTCATATCCGAGTTTTGCATAAAAATGTGAGGAATTATCCATGCACATTTTGTGACAAGAGATTCTCCTGCTCAACAACCTTGAAGCGTCACGTGGATGCGAGACATGCCGCGAATAAAGATAGGAAAATCTATTCCTGCGACAAATGCGAGTACAAGAATCACTCGAGGTGGAATTTGGCGAATCATAGAGTGCGTCACAATGCAGCGCGGAATGGATGCTACTTCTGTACGAAGAGATTCTTCCGGTTTAACGAATTGGTCCAACATTGTCGAGCTCATACTCTAGAAAAGTTGAAATACTGATGTATGTACGAGATGATGATGGGTGTGTAAATAAATTGACAATTTTCGACATTTTAATTTATGTAATCTTCGGACTAATTATTCCGTCCATGTACTAAGCTCTTTATTGCTGATTTTTTACTAATTTTTTGAAGTAAATGAGATTTAAGTAAATAGTTATAGATACACATCACTAAAAATTGATGAGCATATACATCTCTGAAATTCATCCCGCAATATGTGCTACAAATTCATGGGGGAAAGCTACATAAATCTAGTGGAGTAGATTTTTTCAAATATTATAAATTTGATATAAATCCAATAATTTTGTATAACATGCCAAATTAATGAAACACCACGTGACTTAATCATCCCTTGAGCCAAACTTCCTCCACCAAATTTAAGATTAATCACATGATTTATTTATGAAAGGTCGTCCGCAAGGTTGAAGGGTTGGTTATTTTTATCCAAGAATTTGTAAAGTTTTCACTCGTTGAACAAAATGCAACCTTTTTCACACCACACGAACCAACATTTAGCTTCCCTTGTTCAATTACCCTGCAACACTTGCACAGGTGGTATCCGGACAGTTGATCGCCCACCTTTCATCGCCTCACATTTAATACCACACAGTACATCCCCCCCACAGATCATCCTTTTCACAGATCATATCCTACATATTTCATCCCCCCACACTTAATCTCGCCACAGTACATACCATACACACTTCATACCTACACTTTTCATACCCACCGATGCTAATAATAAGTCGGAGTAATCGCGTAGTTGAATTTATTAAAAAGGGTCAAATTCGAGAACAAATAATTCAGTACGTATTTACAAATATTGACCCATGAACTTCCAAGCTGTTTGTTCTTTGTGTGATTTTCAGTCTCCATAGAAAATTTCAACTGGATATGAAGATTTTGAAAAAACAGTACGGGTCACCCTCCAGGGTCAAGCACTTTGCTCATTTTTAACTTTATATTCGTTCATGAGAAGCAATCGGCGTGCCGGATTACATCTTTTCAAAGCAATTTCTAAAAATCGGTATGGGTTACCCATAAGGAGGCTCCAGATAACAATTTTACCACTGGGATTTCATATTCTTCCGTTAAGACACATAATTATGGGTAGAGATTACTTAAGTAATCTCTCTACCAAATTTCAATTTATATGACGATTTTGATAAATAAGTCCAAATTTTGATTAAGGTTCCCAAAGATGAAAATTTTTCTAACTGAAGTTATCTTTTTGCTATTAGGAACCATTTGCAAATTGTGTACCAAATTTTAGCTTTCTACAACAATTTTGAAATTTTGGTGCATGATACCCCACCCACTCCGATGACCCCCACCGGTTAACCACTGGACCGATTTCGCCCATCTTCGAATTCGTTTTCTAACTTTGCCGAATATGCATCTGGTAAAATTTCAAGTCAATCGGTTCAGTCGTTTTGGCTCTATCGTGCCGGACAGACAGATCGACGGACATGACGGTGCCATATGCCCTGACTTGGGCTAAAACTTCGCGGAAAAACAGCTACGCATTACGCAATTACTCCGACTTATTATTAGCATCGGTGGGTATGCAAAGTGTAGGTATGAAGTGTGTATGGTATGTACTGTGGCGAGATTAAGTGTGGGGGGACGAAATATGTAGGGTATGATCTGTGAAAGGGATGATCTGTTGGGGGATGTACTGTGTGGTATTAAATGTGAGGCGATGAAAGGTGGGCGATCAACTGTCCGTGAATCTGACGTGGGACACAACAATGTAACATTAGCAGTGATGGGCTATTTTACATTAACGTTATATTTATGCAATATTTACACATGTATGATTTTGATAAAACCGAACGTTAGACTAACATTGCAACATAGTAAATTTAATATCAATTATTTGTTGAAATTATGTTCAATTAATGCACCAAAATTAAAAAATCATACACAAATATAACTTGAAAATTACATTTTATTTTACACTGCAATTATGCATGTAATAGTTAGATTACAAAAATAGTTCAATACAATGGCATTTCTAAGCAATAACAATTAAACCGTACTAGATATATTCACAAACTTAATACATCGGAAAACGGACAAATTCACCTGATTCTAACAATGGATAGATAACAAGTTTTCAAACTTAAGGCCAATTTGCTGAATATACTTTTGGACTCGAATGCTTAATTTCGTAGATATTAGAACTTACATTGGAGCTTAAAAAACTCTTTTCCGCATAGATATTTTCTACTAGCGTATAAGCCCGTCTCCCGCCGGGCGAGAGATGATTAGATTATCAAAATTTCACCAGTTAAATTTTTGTAGATATTTGTTTTTAAAAAAACAATTTGACACCAACGGAAGTGAAAGCTATTTGTAACGAAAGTTAACGAGGAAAATTAAATGTCACCCACCTGGCTCTGCCATCTCTGCCAGTCCAGTCTTATTTTTGAACGTGAAGAATTCAAAATTAGTCCGATCCACATCGGTGATAACTACCTAAGAGCACTCCATTGTATGTAAGTAGACTCATGTCTACCATGTAGTTTATTACATATATAATTGGGAGCAAATTATTACTCTACATAGTTTCGGACGAAGATCTTTCTATTTCCGAGGCTAATTATAGAATTGTAGTTAGCTGCTTTTACGAGTTTGTATTGTACACACTGACTGCACTTAGCTGGTTTTAAAATTAAGTGATGACTGCACTTGGCGGTTTTTAGAATTAGTACGATGAACAAAGGAATACCCTTCCTTGATCAACATATATCGGTAAAGAAATGAAGTAAAATTGGAAAATGCCCGGAAAAAATTGATGAAGGATTCTGCAAGTGAAGAGTCATTGCAGAGTCAGTGCAGAAGGAGTTTGCAATCTTCGAGTTGGAGAAAATACAATTCTACGAGCTAAAAATGTACCTATAAACCATTGCCCGTATTCTGAGTACGATAAACCGAATCTTTCTGCTTGTAAGTTTCTGTATGAATTAGGTCCAAAAAAAGTAATGGCGAAAAATGAAATTATCAATATCTTTTTAACGTGAAAGAAGTCGATAGTGAAATTGAATACAGTCAGGTAAGAAGATGTCGAAAAAAAAGATCATGGGGATAAAAATAAAGTACAAATAAATGTTTGAGCTCAACATACCCTTAAATTTCGAATTTCAAGTCGATTGCATAACTTTACGTTGTTTTCGTTTGGGATCAACTTATAGAATCGTTCACATAATCTACGATCTAGCGATGGATCTAACAAGTAAGTTACTACTCGTGGATCGATGGCTGGCCCCAGCGCATAGAGTTGATACCCCTTGTCTCCAACGAGTAAAGGAGTTTAAAGGTTTCGGACATTCCGGAAAATAAATTAAATTAAATAGGGTTTTGCAGTTTATCAAACCCTTATGTAATCAAAATATAGCTGTTGTTATAACTTGACCATTGTTAGGCCAAGTTATAACAAATATGAAATTATCAAAAGTGCATGCATGCAATTGGGCACGCAATGCCAAAATGCTCATATGAGAATCAGAGCCTCTGCAATGTTTGAGATTGACTAAACATGGGATTGTTTAAAGTGTAAGCATGCATGCAATGTCAAAATGTTCATATGAGAATGGGAGTTTTAGCGACACTTGAGTGAACGAGATCGTCTAAACATGGGATTGTTTTTAACTCTAGTTGTTATACAATGCCAAAATGTTCAGATGAATATGATCGTGCTTGTGACAACCCAGTGAACAGACTGGAAATACCGACCAGACGGTTAAAAAGTTAATTTATTAATTAATTAACTAATTCAAAACAGTTTAAATGAAAAATTGTTAGCAAGTTGGAAGTGATATATGTGAAGTGATGAACAATACCAAAAACGCGTTATTGCCCAGTCGAACCGAATCCCTTATCACCGCGCGGCTCGCGGGATAAGAACTCACTTCTTTGAACGCCGTGTTCTTCGTCTTTCTTAGTTCCTTCAACGTATCGCACTGGTCCGTGGTACATTGGGATTACTGCAAGCTGCCCGAGGCGTGACGCCGCTTTGTAAGCGAAGTTTTCGCTCGAGTTGTTGTGCAAGATAATCTTCATCGTCCCAGTATAATCATGGTCGATTATGCCACCTTAAATAAATTTTATAAATTTGTAATTATTCAATTTGTAACAGTAATGTAATAATGAACAACAAACCTGCTGTGGATATCATTGTTGCTGCGGCCAATCCTGACCTCCCCTTAATCAAACCAAAGTGGTTGAGGGGCAGTATAACTTGGATCCCCGTCTCCACCACACCAACACCGCCACCACTGATTTCGCCAGAGTTTTGAGAAAATAGGTCATATGCTGCTGATCCAGGCGTAGCCTTCCTCGGAAACATTGCCCGTCTATGACGACGAACAAAGATAAGTCCGTCAACTGTGTGAGAAATTAATAGACAACAATTTTAGTTAATTAATGAAGTATTGGAATTTATTTATTTTCAGAATTGATCCGGTGCTAATTTGAAGGTAAGTATTGAGAGGATTTATGGAGCAATAACTAATAATCTAGTATTTGTAACCAAAATTTGAATTTTAAAACTTTTAGTGAGCTTAACATCGAATAAAGCTCTAAGCGTCCGGTTTTGCCGGGAGCATGCTACCAACGTCGTTGCGCATTTCTTCTAACGCTTTTACTAATGACCAATAGTGGTCGACCAGAATATTTGCGCCCACATTTTGATTTTTGCGTAAAGATAAATATGTTTTTGAGTTGTTATGCCATGTTTGGAGTCGGAGGTAGTATTCGCCTCCTAAAAACCCCTCCCACCAAATTGAATTTTGCGAATCTTTCTTCTCTTCGTAGGACGAGAAGTTTTTCTTAATTGTACCTGGCTGTTCACCTGCTCCTCCGCCGCTGAGTGAGGCTGGGGATCCTTCTTGGATGTCTTCCGCTTAGCGTCCTTCACGGCCGACTTGACTTGGTCCTTCACGATCCTCTTCGCAGGCTTCTTATCGTCGTCGCCTGAAAGTGAGCAATTAATTTAGTTAATGTTTTGCATTGAGTATTTGAAAATAATCGAATTATATAAAATATTAATCTACGTCTCGAATGTGTTAATATTTAAAATTAATAAATAAAAAAATATTACCAGCTTTTCGCTTAGTTCCAGATCCCGATCCCTGCCTAGGTCCTTCGTTAGACTTTTTCATGGGCTTCTTTTCCGCATCCTTAACTTCTTCTCGTCTACCTGTAAATAAGAGCGTAAACGTAATGTAAATTTACAAATTAAAAAATAAAATAAATGAGTAAAATAAAACGATAAATCTTACGGTCGCTATCCTTATGTTTCTTCTCGGCTTCCTTTCTGCCCTTGTGGGTCGTCTTGTTCTTGGCGTCTCTTCTCGGGGATCGGTCCGATTCCGAGTCGTCCGACCAAATTGCTTTCTTGCTCCTAGGCCTTTGACCCTCATCGCTGCTGCCCGACGAACTGCGATGACTTGACCGTGAAGAACTACTATCGCTGGAACTGCGGCTCGTGCTGCGAGTGGCGCTGCGGCTTCTGCGATTATCGTTTTCTGAAATAGAAATTAAATTGTAGATTCAAATAATTTTTTCTGTTTTCTTTGCTTTTGAAGCAATTTGCTTAAGAATATGTCTGAATAAAATTTCTGAAAGAAAAAAAACTTACTTTTTGGCATGATGAAAAATTTTCTTCTTGTTCACAATTCAAAGTTAACTCCTCGAAATTATTTCTTTGACTAATACGACTAAATGGAGATCGTTTAATCTCAAAATTGAACATGATGACGACAGTAAACAAGAATATAAAATAATACGATAACAAGTGAATACTTGCTTGTTAATGGAGTGATCTAATTAATTACTTTGTTGTGACTATGCGTATTATCTTCTTTGTTTGAGTTATTTTCTTTGTAACAAGAGGTATTTAGTAGATTGTTATTAAATTATTTTTTATTTATTTTTAATACTTCTTTCTGTGTACTTGATCTTTGACATTTTAGTCGTCATGATGTCACTTCAGTAGTATAAATATGAGAACCGAATTATTTTTAAATTCCATTTGGTATTTGATTATACACCCGATATCAACATGCCAAATTGTCACAAATAATTTAAGCTATCAACTCACAAAAGTATGATACACATACGTAAATTATGTCAGCTGATGACATAATTACTTAATTTAATTGAGATGATGATGATATAATAATTATAATAAACTTTCTTATTATTTAGACGCAAATCTCGGAATTTTGTCGTATTGTCGCTGCTGTTGCTGCTGCTGCTGCTGCTGCTACTACTCGCGGCTGGTGATGCTCGAAGGAATGAAACAATCTATGTGAGTACGACCACCACATTTATGTATAATGACAATTTAATAATTAAATACTGTAGCAGACTGGAGAACGAGCGGATTCTTTTATAAGCGGAGGAATATATGCGTTTTCACTTCTCTCATATCAATGTGCGTCCTTGCGAATTTATGATTTATTCAATATTTAATCTTTCTTATCCTCATTTCGTGTCATAATTTTTATAGATGAATTCATGGAAATCTTGTACGAGATGCATCCCATGTGGACTTCAATTCGCCTCAGCAAGGCGGTTCGAAAAACACGTTGCGAATCACAGAAGGCCTTTTAGATTATATGTATGCAAGTTATGTAATTTAGAATTCACTCAACACAAAGCGTACGATATTCATATAAATTCACATAGATGTCCGCATTGCATGTATGAGGACAGCGATATTTTTGCTGTAAATAATCATATTTTGACGCACATAAAATCTTCTACGACGGCAGCAAGCAGTCGACAGACAGGATCGAGAAAGCGACAAAACGACGCATACCCTTTTAAAGAGATAGCTGCATTTAAGAGATATGTCAGAACATATCGACATAGAAATAAGAAGAAAAATGCTCCGTATCGTACATTAATGGAATATTTTTCAGAAAACAAGCGTTGTATTTATGGCATTATTAAACAATGCTTAAATGACTACAAATCCGTAAAAATTCAAATAACCCTGAAATGTAAATTTATTAGAGACACCCCGTTTTGCGACAAAGAAGAAGAGGAATATTGCACACAATTTATAAATTCGAATATGAAAGTTGTATTGAACAAATTTTATCTGACTGACGTTTTAAACGAGATTGATACGAATTTTCAACACCAAATTGAAATATTCGAGAAATATGGTTCGGGATGGAACTTATGCGAAATTCTAGGAAGCGATATTCGGGTTGCCGAGTTCGAGATTTTGCGAGGTGGTTGCTTTGTATCGGTCCCTGAAGAGTTGGCTGGAAAGAAAGCAATTATCAATCCGCAAATGCAGGGAAACAAATGCTTTCAATGGGCTTTTCTGATTGGCATGCATATTAACGATATAAAGTCACTTCATAGAGCAAGGATCAGACAGTACGAAAAATTTGTAAATAATTATGATTGGAAATGCATTGAGTTTCCTACAACACAGCAGAATATCAAAACATTTGAAAGTCGAAACGCTGAGAAGATGTTGGCTGTAAATGTATTCGGGTTCGATGATCGAGGGAAGCTAAATATTAAATACCAAAGTATGCACATCCGAGATAAAAAACGGAAAATTGTTAACCTACTTTACGTTCAAACCTGTGCAAATAATCCAGGACATTTTATGTACATAAATGGAATTGAAAAACTTTACGGTTCTAAAAATCATCATAAGCGATTACTGTGTTATAATTGCCTTGCTCTATTTCCAAGTCAAGCTCGCTTAAATAAACACGAAGAACTTTGTTTTTGTTTCAAGAAGCAACGCGTTTGCATGCCAGATCCCTATGATTTACGCGAGGAGCCTGTTTGTCGATTTAAAAAGTTTGAAAATAAGTTAAAATCTAGGGTTGTCATTTATTCGGATTTTGAGGCTCTCTGTATGAAAGTAAAGCGAAGAAGAGGAAAAATACGGCAGTACGCTAAACATGTTCCGAGCGGTTATTATTTTGTAGTTGTCTCAAACGATGAAGTGATTTATAAATCGTTATATCGTGGAAAGGATTGCATGGAAATATTCGTAAAAGAGCTTGATGAAATTTGCGATCAACTAAATAGTTTGAATTTAAACAAGGTGCCCATGAGAAATCTTACATTAGAAGAGCAAACATTGTACGAAGAGAGTAATATTTGTCACATTTGTGAAAATGTTCTCCAGGAGGATAAAGTAAGGGACCACTCACATGAAACTGGACGCTTTAGGGGGGCAGCGCATCGTCAATGTAATGCCAAATACCGTCAAAAAGATAGAATACCGGTTTTAATGCACAATTTTAGGAGCTATGATTCGCACTTACTGCTTAGTTACGTCAGAAAACTGTCTGCGAAAGAAGTGAAAGTGATTCCGTCTAATTCTGAAAAGTATATGGCGTTGCTCTGTGAGAATTACGTTTTTCTGGATTCGTTTCTCTTCCTCAAAGCCTCGCTGGATACTGTTACGAATGACTTGTTGTTGGGAAATAATTTTGAGCAAGACTTCAAACCATTAATACAGATTTTCGGACAGGGTGCGGCTAAAGAGATGTCCAGAAAAGGAATTTATATGTATGAATATATGGATAAGTGGAAAAAGTTTGATCAAAAAAAGTTTCCCAAAAAATCCGACTTTTACAATTCATTGGCAAGTTCGGGCGTTTCAGATGTTGATTACAGGTACGGTAAACATATTTTCAAATCATATTGCTCGGATTTAGGGGATTATCATGATCTCTATTTAATGACCGATACTTTGTTGTTGGCTTGTGTTTTCGAGAAATTTCGTGAGGTTGCCTTGACACATTATAAACTAGATCCTGTTCACTATTATTCGCTAGCAGGGTATTCATGGGATGCTGCATTATTAAATACGAAACAGGTTTTAGATTTGTTTATCGATTCTGCTATGTATAATACTATAGAATTAGGACTCCGCGGTGGTGTTTCAATGATTTCGACGCGATATGCTTCGGCGAGGAATAAGTATATACGAAAAAGCGGAAAAATAAAAGATGGAGACAATTATCTTTTTTACATTGACAAGAACAATTTGTACGGGGAAGCTCTTCTTCAGCATTTGCCCACAGGAGATTTTGAATGGGAAGACGCAGAGTTCGTTCAGAATTTGACAACGGAAGAAATTTTAAAATGGGGCGATGAAGATAATATCGGGCGAATTTTAGTGGTGGACCTAGGGTACGGGTCGGCATTGCACCCCAAACATTCAGAGTACCCGCTTGCCCCCGAGAAAATTTGTGTAAACAGTAAGCTACTTTCTTCGTATCAGACAGACCTTATTTCGCATTATAATATGACTTATTCTGAGAAGCAACCTAAGCTCGTACCGCATTTGGGCCCTCGTAAAAGGTACGCTGTTCATTATAGGAATTTAAAATATTATTTAAAGAAAGGAATGACTTTAGAAAAAGTACACAGTGTAATTAAGTTCAGTCAATCTGCATGGTTGAAAAATTATGTCTTATTTAACGGTTCTTTGCGTCAACAAGCACGAACCATTTTTGAACAAAATCTGTTCAAATTTATTGTAAATAGCATTTTCGGGAAATCCGCAGAACAAGTACGAAATCGAGAAGATGTTAGAATTGTGAGTAACCTAGAGCAGATGAAGAAGTTGACTAGACATTCGAATTTCAAAAATTATCAAATTTTAAGTCCTGACCTCGTCATAACTTTTCTTGACCGCGCAGTGGTGAAATTAAATAAGCCGTTGTATATTGCCTTCACAGTACTCGACTTAAGTAAACTCTTTATGTATGAGTGGCACTATGATAAAATTGGCGAGTGGTTCGGGGAAAGAGCGAAATTCTTGTTTACAGATACTGATTCATTAGCATATTCAATAACCACTGAAGATTTGTACGAGGACTTGGCTGAGCACGCTAACGAGTTTGATTTTAGTAATTATGACCAATCACACTTTCTTTATTCGAACGTCAACAAGAAAGTTATAGGGAAGATGACAGATGAAGCAAAAGGAAATGTTCTAGAGAGTTTCGTAGGTGTTGCGCCGAAGATGTATTCCTTTCTTGGAAAAGGTATAAGAAAGAAAGCAATGAAAGGTGTCAAGAAACAAATAGTTGATAAGTACATTAATCATAAACGATTTAAATCAGTGCTATTCAAACAAAAGAAATTGGTATGCAGAATGAATCTGATTCGTTCACGGCATCACAAACTCTATTCTGGAAACTTTTCGAAAGTTGCACTCCATTGCTTTGATTCAAAGAGATACATTTTAGCTATGGGATTAATACCATAGCCCATCATGATTGTCGCATCGTTGCGTAAACCGTTTACATCGGTTAGAATTTATGTTAAGTGTATATGTGAAATAATAAAATTAAGAGTTGTAAATTGCATGAAGTAAACGAAAATGGTTATATTTCATTTTAAATATATTAGTTTTATATTTGTACAAACATGTAAGTCGAGTCTATGCAATAAATATTTTCAAAAGAAATTTGATCCTTTTGCGACAAAGTGGACAATAATCTTGTGTACACACGCAGTCTAAACACATACTTAAATGGGCACAAGGCAGAACCACGAATCTCGCTTCAGATGCATCACAAATTTTGCAGATAGGATCAACCATTACGGTAGCCAGAATTGGAGTTCCAGCAGCTGCAGCTGAAAGGTAATCATTATAATATTTTGCATCGTCTGATTTTTTCTGTAGCGAAACTAACAAAATTTTTACCATTTTCAGAATGAGGTTCTTCAGAGGCGGTATCAACAGAAAAATTTTTCTATAGAAATAAAACAAAGCTTGTAATTCTAATATTACTAATACAAATTTGACTTGAAATTTTTTTTGATAAAATTACCTTCTGATTGGCTTTGGCTTTGTTAACCAATAAATATGTACACTTATTCGAAAAAAGAGCGTGTTCAATCCAAGGATTATCTTCTGGCAACCAATTGTGCGCGCCGACCCCACAGAAATAACAAATAACTTTATCTGATTCGCCGGAATAATAAAATCCACATTCGGCCAGCGTATGGGGTGTTTGCGCCTTATTGGTCGGCCATCCTTCGTACGATTGAAGCCGTTTTTGGAAAGTGCTCATGTCCTTATTAAACATGTTGAAAGGTTTATAAGTTAGGTGTTCCGAAACTTGTGCTTGCATTTTGATTTCGGCGTCGTTTTCTTTTAGCACCCGAATATACATTACGCATCGGCGTAGGTCCATGTGTATCCCTCGATGAACGAGCTGAGTCTGAGTTAGAATTTAAGTTGTCTTTACTTGATATAGGTTTCCATTTTTTAAAGCCTCCCATCCTAGAAGCGCTATCGGTTTGATTAGAACGAATTCTGATTCCTTCCAGTGGACCCATTAAGTCTTGCTTAACATCCTTGGACAACATTGTCGTTGGAACGTTTACCATCTTACAAACTGTTAACATACGATTAATACCTGCAGGATTATGACTCCACTTCAATTCTCGTGTTACGTAATTTACCAAATCAATTATGTTGGTTTCCGGGGCAAATTCTGTTCCAAAAAAAGTTACCCTTCCATTTGTGTCCCATTTGATAAGATCGGGCCTTGATTTCAGCATGGTCATGAGAGGAATAAGCTTCGTAGCTTTGACGTTTGCGGGCTCATTTCTGAGTAAGATAATATCGTCCAAATTTAAAGGAGAACTTTGAGGAACTTCATTAAGTGTATCTGGATCCCACGCCGTCGCTGAACCTTTCGACGACGCGAAACTCTGGTTTAAGGTTGAGTTTGGTGACGATATAGCAGATGAAAAATGATCTAGGGAGCTAAAGTCTGCACTACTATCGGCA